GAAAATTACCACCACTTTGTAGGTATAAATAGTCATAAATAAACCGAGATTTTCTTTTTTGTAGATACCGATTTTATGTAAAAAATCATTTAAATTTGCTGAACATTTGGCAGAATACAAAGCAGTAACCATAGAGTAGTCAGTAAACATAACTGAATACTTTATTATATGGTTAAAAATCTGATTCAGTCCTAATGTATAGTGATCATTGAAAGTGTACTAACAATAAGAAACTTTACTACAGCAGATTTCATACCTAAATACAATTTACTTCGACATACAAAAAAACAATTGTATGTATCACAGTTTGTGATTTAAAATCACTTGCACTCATCCCATCATTTTATTCACTACATAATCCGAATCACATATATAATAAATATCCATTCATTGTAACTTTGTCATCTCAGTCATTAAATATCAGGTCAAATATCAGTTGATTTATTTATCGTGCCCTGAACCATAAGTTTTATGGTACATTATGGGAAATTATAATAATTAATTGATCTTCAAGACAGACAAAATTAAACATTCGAATTGTGTACTTTTAGTCAGCTTTTACAGTAATTTTTGCTTCTAATCTTCACTGATAACAATAACAACTAACAAAAAAATTACTTTTTTTGATCATCTTGGGATTGTCCGAGGAATGAGATCAAATCATGTTGTATTTTGTTGTCATTCGTTTATTAAATTGTATATTACCTGTATTCATATGTTATGATCTGTCAAGCATAATCATATAGGAATTACTATTCATTTTTGGCACTTCCGTCTTAATTTTGACGTTATTATATTTTCTGAGCTGGGTAGTTTAATAGTGAAGCTTTTATTGTCCTTCTCATTTGAATGAGAAGTGAGTTATCGGGCTCCCATTTTGCTTCAAACATATACTGTCTTGTTTAAAAATACCCAACAAATTAGAAGGCTAATATATATGAACGAAGAATATTCTTTTCGATAAATTCTCTTCAGGTTCTACGATTATATATCCAAATTAACAATTCAAAAAATGGCCAGATTAAGGATAAAATGCATCGTTTAAAGCGTGTGAATTTGGGATTGTCAAACAAAATAGAATAAAATTATTAATGTAGATATGACTCATATAGAATGTTAACATGAATCTGCGTATATGTTAAGTGAGATTTAAGATCCATGATCAGAATTAATGTGGATCAGATAGGGTAAGAGAAATAATAGTGAAGTTACAAATTCAATCAAATGTTTGATGGAAGACTATAATGTGTAAGGGTTTCTTATTAAATTAGTAAGAAATAATAGTTGAATGAATGCTAAATAAGTAAATCATATATTCGGGAGATTAACAGCGACGTTAAACCAATAATAATGACGATAATAATGATGATACAAAAACAACTGAATACAGATAACAGAGACAACTATATTTGGTCAAACTAGATCACTCAGTAGCTAAGATTGCTATTGATTAATTAGCCGTGAGGTAGGCCACGGTAGGGGAAGCGGTTGAAGATATTTCTTTTGTACACATAGCTCGGGTTTCTTAATCCGAATGGCTACTGCCTTACACTATTTGAAGGACGTTGAGTCTGACAGAGTTTGGCAAGAAATTACTGACCCGATAAATAATTGAGATTGGCTTGTGCTGGCACTATAACCAGTTTATACTAAATGGTTCTATATTGAGTTGTTCATTTTTTTTACTGAACCTTGGTTTAGCCACGCTGGGAGGTGTTGACGAGCATGAGAATGCGAGTTACTAGAACCTTGACCAATATCACTTGCTCTACAACAGCAGTCGAACTGATAAATATAAAACCAGATGGTCATTCTAGGTTATTAATCTTTTATCCTCGAGTTGACCAGTGGGTGCGTAGAAAACACTAGTTGTAGTTCTCCAGCATTCAATGATTTTCGGATCGTTCTGTATAGTCTCTGGATTAATATTTCGCTAGTTGCATCCCCTCTGAATTGTAGGCGCATGAACAGAGATTTCTTATTCACTATTTTTATTTCACCTATTCTAATCTTCGTGATCATATAGTGGTATTCGTCCTTCCTAAGCGTAGTACGCGAGACGTTCAACTCTCCAACTATATTCGTAGAACATATAATGCGTATTTGAAGACTAAGAGTTTTGATCAGGCTTCTTTCGTATAGTAGAGGTACAAAGCCAAAGGAATGTGTGTACCGACTTGTCGGTGTATTTTCTCCCGTTAAAATTTCTTCTTATTGACCAGTCAGCTCTCTTAGCTAAGAAAACGTCCAAAAAGGCTATTCTACTTTCACTTTCTTCTTCAGATATGAACTTCATTAATGTTCCTAATAATAACTGGTGGTGATGTGCTATCTTTACGGAGGATGAACGTGTCATCCACATGTCGATAATAAAATGTGAATTTTTGAACTATTTTTTTAAGTGGACCATTTTCTATTTTGGCTAGTAAAGTATCAGCTGGTGTGGGACACAATAGTGATCCCAGTGCAACTCCACTCCTTTGTTTATAGGTTTCTCCGCTAAACTTGAAATTCACATTCATGATGCATTCTCTTTTACGACAGTAATTGGAATTATAATTATAATTTCGTTTTCTTCAAGTTGTTCACATATATATTTTAGTCCTAATGACTGGAACACTTGTGAATGATAATATTATATCCCAAGACACCATCCTTTGTTCCATAGTATTTGCATTTTCGATCTTGTCAACAAATTAAAGAACATCCTAAACATAATGCTTTACAAGTTTTGCGTGGAATGGTTTTAATATAGTTACCAGCCACTTGGTTGTTGTATGATATATAGAGTACTACATATCAAAAATTGGTCTCAATGGGATACCGGGTTTGTGCACCTTCGGTAACCCATACAATCTTGGTAGATGAGTTCCCACAGGTCTAATCATTTCTTATAAACCTGATAAAGGTATCTGTTGGTCTCTGAACCTCTTCAAAGATTTGATTGGTTCATTCCCTATCTTATTATTGAGATCTTTTTGATCAGTTAGTTTTCGAAATTTTAATGTCATCTAAACTGGTACCCACTTTGTCAGTATCATCACTTTTATTCACAAAAAAGCTCTTAAAGCTTTGTCAGGTTTCATAATCAATAACATTCCATCCTTTATGAGTACGTTAACAGCTTATTCGTGCTTCTTTGTAAGGATGATTTTGAAGTTAAATATACTGCTCTCATACTGGTAACAACAGTCTACAAGATTTGATCTCAAATGTTCAGGTTGTTGATCAGGATTTGCAACTAAATTCCGGGTCTAACTATGTAGATTTCCGAACTGTATACCTGTATCTATGTGGTCGGAGTGATTACTGTCTTCATTGATAAACTGTATATTGTACTACATAACATAGACAACAATAATACCGGTACTTAGTTGAATACATCGCTTTTTATTGATAAGTATAGATATATGACTCGATATCTTGTTTGCTGATTTTTCATTTAACTAACAAATCAAATAATTTCTTACTATGCTTTACCTATGCATTTCGTTTGCTTACATTAAGATTCAATAAATACTGTACTATTTCAATCGACAACCACCCTAGCCGAGGATATATAGTGGCAAAATTTCAGTTCTGAAGTAATCCGCCCTTACATTTGTTGGGATTATTTCATATACACGTTCGTTACAAACTACATATTACTTTCTTCAATAAAATATATCTTTTTGGCAAAAATTAGTGTAGAATTTTCTTTTACATTCCAATATCATTAGTTTATACTTGTTGATAACTAATGCATTGTTAATGATGGCATGGTGTGGATCTGTGCCTTAATAATTTAAATACTCAGCGATTTTACCACGATTTCTAGCTTCGTAACATACATTTAGATTTGGTCATTTGAAAATATTGTCTGTAAACTTTACACACTGAGTAAAGTTGGAAGCTAGACATGCAAATTTAAAAATGGTTACTACATTAAAAATGATGTATTTTGTTAAACGAGATGTAGAAATTCTAATCATATATCCCGTTGAGTATATCTCTGTCAATTTTATTGTCAAGTAAAAAGTAGCGTTACTTTTAATTTAGCAGGACTTTTATGTTTATCAGAAGTAAACCTCAGTAAACATAAATCAAAATACATTAACTTAACACATTTTCTTTACTACTCAGAGATTTTCCAATGGATCTTTCCTACGCTGCTTGGCTACGTTATTTGACATACTAGTTCTTTTTAGTGTAATGATGATACACATCAATCATACGTAACTCATTTTACTTTGTATAAGTCAATTGACCGGAAACTTAGTCACATTATTTAATTGAGGATTATTAATACTACTATCCTGTTTCCTAAAATGAAGTATGGTGAACAGAATTCAAACATGAAATCTGATGGCATTATATGTATTTGAAATAATCCTGACAATTTAAGTTTCAATGGTTCCGACGCTTCACCTGACAAACTAGCCCGATCTTCTTCAACGAAACAATCAAAATTGTCATCTATAACTAAGGTTTAAAGTAATTCCGTTGACCTTTGATAATTTTGATTACTCCACTGAAGACCATTGAACCAGTGTGGCAGGTGAAATGTTGGAATTATTTAAATTTCAATCGCTGAGATTATTTCAAATATCATTTTGACATCTATCGTCGTCTAGATACTTGGCATTTAATTTCGTTCAAACCATTCGTTCAAATATTGAAGAATATTCACATTAATTGGAACAGAATTGTTGAAAACTACCTCTTTACCGAACACCACTAGAAATAAGCTGATCCATTTTTTCGAGGAACATCATGCTAATACATTACAGTCAGTCAAACTATCTGGTTCACATTTCATGTTTGTTTTAGAAATAACAATCGTTTGTCTATCAAAAGGATTTTATTATGCAAAACTACTGGTTGAAAAGCCATGTTATCCTTTTCTATTCATAAGTTATCTTAATTAAAATGACAAATAAATCTGATTTTAAAAAAGAAATTAACAATAATTCAATATGATTGTTTACTTTACAAACACTAGTGAATTTTTATGCACAAATCTGAGGTTATGTGAATGAGTGAATGTATATAAATGTTATACCAAAAGAAACTCAATCATTCATTCATAGTTGTAATTAGTTAATTTCAGTATGAAAATACTAATATGTTATCATTAAATCATTCTCAGCCCAAATAACATGTTTATATTTTGTTTTCAATGCATGCTCTAAATCAATTCTACGTGAAGCATTCTGTATTTCACAAGTACATTTCACCTGAACTTGAAGTATACCTGATGTTGACCAAATACGTTCGTGACTAATGTCTTTTATGCTGTGTATATAAAAATGGAAAAGTTAAAATTCATGATGGAAAAATAGATTTATGGATCTGGGTAATGATACCCTATTTTAATTAAACTCGTATCAACCTAGTCAATCAATTATTTGTGTCGATTGGACACCTTAATTAATCATAATCCGGCTTAAATTGTTCACGATCTATGAGTATATATGTTATGGGCAATTAATTTACACATAAATTAACTGACTTATATAACGTATCTCGCACATTTAAACAGGAAGGTGACTAGCAAGTAAAATTGATCAATTTCAAGATAAGCACTTACCAATGTTGCAACGAACAAATACTAAAGACTAAGACATTATTCAAACGAATTTTAAATATGAATAGTAAATGGGAGATTTTTAAGTTCATCATAAATCGTACCACCCCGAATTCATTGAATAACATTTCCAAAGTCAAACTACTATAATGCAACTAATTATTAGACAGCATTTTTAAAATATTGAACGAACAGATTAATTCGGCAGTTTAAAAATCCCCAAAGAATATTCAAAAGTGTAGAATATTTTCAATAACTTCATCATCATCAGGCCCTACAGTTATAAGCTCATAATGATTGTGATATTTTGCAAAGGTCAAAATAAGGCATATATTAAGACATTTGAAAGTGTTATATGTTAAATAAGGGTTAGTGTTTACATCTGTTATGATATAAATACTTCACAATTGTGTTATTTGTAAATTAGAAAGATCATTTAATAAAGGTCAGAATAAATTGGAGTAGATTGTCAAGTCACAATCAGTACAATAGTAATATAGCAAAAATGAAAATGAAAAAAAATCATGTAAATAAAATGCATAGTAAGAGAATTTCATCTTGTCAATTGAAGTAATAATGATAATAGAAATCGTGATAATAATGTTGAAAATTGTGCTAATATCTCTAAACTACAAATTACGAATGATAATGCCTAAGATAAACATATTTAGTTCACTTGGTGTTGTTTTACTTGTATCTTCCCATTGATGTTTAGCATTGCAACTGGTCAGTCTGTTATTGGTATATGTGTATACTATGCGCATTACCTCGATATTGTCTTCGTTCACAAGCTCTATAAGCAAAGATAAATAGTGGATAGCAGTGGAATCGGTGACACGCGTTTCGTCCTATTTGGGACTCGTCATCTGGATGTACCTGCACCCCAGAGTTGATGTTCACTCCGGGATACGAACCCAGTTCCGTTCGCCTCAAACGCCATCGCGTTATTCATTTTTGCTTGAAAAGCTTGTGACTTGAGGCTATATCGAGGCAATCCGCACAGGACATACATATGCCAACATGAAACTGATCAACTGCAGTCCTAAATAACAATCGGAAGATACAAGTAAAGCAACAACAAGTGAATTTAAACTTCACCCCATCACACAAGCAAGCGGCTGTCAGGACTCAGCAGCTTGGTGGATAACGCGATGGCGTTTGAAGCGAACGGTACTGAGTTCGAGTCCCAGAGTGAACATAAACTCTATGATGCATGTACATCCAGCTGACGAGTTGCAAGTAGAACGGAACGTGCGTCCTGGATTCCACTGCTAACCACCATCCGTCTTTGCTTAAAGATATTTAGTGCTACGATTTCTTAACTGAAGCATCTTAGTGAGATTATTATTTTGCATTCTCAACCGATTTATCACTTCTTAACTTCCTACTGACAACAAACAGAGAATAAATAAAATTCAACGACATTTTTGAAATTAGATTTGTGCTACCTACTAAAAAAGGAAAAGAAATATTTTCGTGGAGTAAATTTTATTTTAGACAATTCTGGGTAAAACTGTAGTACAGTGATGAGCTTATCAGAATGGTGGAAACAAATTTTAACTTTTATTACTTAGAATGAGCCGCAAACATAGTATAGTGTTAGAACGCTTAAAATTACAGCAAAAAATTGGTTTTATTACATCAAAGGATAAAAATAATAGTTTTAAACTAATCAGATACTCACTTCTTTATATATCTATCGCACGTGACAGGCAAACCAACCCTTACTCGACCTTTAACTCTGATCGGAAACAATGCATTTACTCCTAAAAAAATTTGTGTCCTTACAAGGGTTCGAGAAAATGGATGATTTATGACCAAATGGACAAGTTTATATGTCACTGACTTTTCGACTTGCATACAGAAAGACCTGCAGAAAACTCTGATAATTTCCTTAATCATGTAAATTATATGGTATTATTGGTGTTTTTAATAACTTTTAATTGGCTAACAATGAGCTATAACTAGCCGCGGTTATTTCAAGAACCACTAAAACTTACCTCAATATCCTACTCCCACCCACTTTTTGTTTTAGTGATAATACTTAGTTCTAAAAGCTAGAAATTGTTATGGGAAACACTGACCATTTAATACTTTTTTCCTTACTGTAAGATTTTTTTAAAACGATAATCCATGAGATATCATGTAACATTAATAAACAATATTAAGTTTAAGAAATAATGCAACCGTTATGTTGGCTTACTTAGCTCCGATGTCGTTCAAAATTAGACATAGTTCTGAAATACTTTCAGGTCGATCATTTAAAACAACTATGAATCGACAGAGACGACCTTCAAGTGCTAATCCTTTGTCAATAACACGGCTTAGTGATGAGATGTCAATATTTCCTCCACTTAGAATGCATACAACTCTAAAACATGAGGAATAATGAGGACAAGTTGTTATTAGTTGACATGGTGGATTTTACAACAATTTTCATCAAATCACTTTAAATAGTCGTTCGACTTTTTTCCCATGTTAGGTAATATTCAGTCATTCGTCTTTCAGTTCGAAGGTTGGATCCCTTAACTAAATCAACGAACAATTTATTAGGAATATTACAAAATAACGTAAGAGTAGCTCAACGTATGGTAAAGTCACAGAGCCTGCCAGTCTCTATAATAGGTCTATAATTACAGATTGAATATAATTTCAGTATTTGGATAAAGCTAGTGATAGTTGTCATATTAGTCTTCAAGTTTGTTTTAATAGCCAGATGTTTCGGAATATTTTCAATACAGTAGACAGCTGGTAATATTTCGCATTGACATTTCCATACCTAAAATGTAGTTAGTCACAAAGATAAGACGCCTTACATATTTCCTTTTGAATATGTGGTCCCAAAGACTGAATTTAATGTAAAGTCGATAACAAAAAATGTTCGAATCCTATCCCAGTTAGTTGCAATATACACATTAGTTAACTGAAGAACGGAACCACTATCATTATATATATTTATAGCTTACACTGACGATGTCAAGCTATCTTCTTCCCTGATTTGCGATGTAGGTGGAACGTGTGTTTACTAGAAAAATTGGAATGTTACCAACATGACATGTCCATAAAACCAAATTTAGTGTAATACGCCAAAAATCCAAATACTCACTTTTTTCCGATTAATTCAGGCAAAACATTTGCCATAATTAAAGCTAATGAAGTAGCCCCAGAACATTCTACAACAGATTTCTCAAATTCTAATAAACGAACAACTGCACGATAAATATATGTTTCATCAATAGTTACCACTTTATCAACTAATTTATGAGCTGTTTCAAAGGAATTCACACCAACCACAGAAACAGCTAAGCCTGATGAAAGAACAAAGAATACACTTAATCTAAAATAAATATCATGATAATACTAAACGATATAAACCATTTATGTAATTAAAGTTATCCAACGAACTATGGATGTTAAAACATTAGGTATAGGACTTTTTTTACCTAATATAATTGGCAATATAAATTAACTAGTGAATGCTCAGTATTAAGTACGAGCACATATTTGCTATAAAGAAATCTACATCACAATTAACGGGAAAATAAAACCTAATCACAAATAATGGTTATGACTTCGACCACATTGTCCCAGTAATTAATCATTGGATCGTATGATGTCGATAAGAAATGTGTAATAATCACTATAATGGTATTATATAAACTTGGGAAGATAAATTTAGAGTTCATTTGATATACAATATTGTAGCAACGATGAAAAAAACTTTAGTAGCCAAAATAATGAAAATTACTGATATTGAAATTACAGTGATGCGTTTCTTCATTCTTTCTTCAGTTCCTGAAAGCTCATCAATTCGTAAACCGGATATCGTGACTAATTTCAAGTTAGATTTAGGATTATCTGATAATGAAGGGAATTCTACAAATTTAACGAATCTTTAGAACGTGCAAAAAAGTCCAACTAGTAAAAGAACTATTTTAGAGATATTAATTACACCATGACAACTTTGATGTAAGTTAATCTAGGTTTTAAACAAAACTAGTTTATTTCAACAGATTACTTTCTATAACAATCGAACTAAATTAGATATATACGAAAAATAAGGATAGCTCTAAGCTGACGTGGTTTCTGTATATGAATAAATCAAGTGTAGTACGTTGTCAAGATGTCACTACCCGATGATTTTCGAGAGTACTTAATATGATGGGATAAAAAGATGACACTACTTAAGCCAACATTTCCTATCATTTCAATATAAACTTCATTTTATATGAAATGTGGGCTTTCGTTCAGTGTGATAATTATATCTATTGTATCAATTGTTATACTGTATTCAGAGTGTTTTTACAGTACCTATATGTGATATTATTAAGTCTCAAAATCAGTATTTGATTGTATTTTGGTCTAAAGATGACATGGAACTTTTAGGGACGTGTTTTTGGAGAATCAATAATCTCCATTCCACCAGCTTTTTATGTTCTAACCTTGCGTCATGAGAATAACAGTGGCTCCCGTTTCAAATTATAAGCAGTAAGATCCAGGAATTGCGGTGCTTTCTAGTAGTCAAGTAAAGTATCAAGACTGAGGAATATCATTAAACACACGGCGATTTCTGTATTTTTTCATCCCATTAAAAAAATTTCATTCCGTTTCGTCCAATTAAATGACTAGTTTTAAATTCTTAATAATTGTTTATTTGTTTATTAAAATTGATATGAAATGTAAGTACTTGTCAACAGAGCACCTTTTCTTTAAATTATGGACATGGGTAACGTAAAAAGTACAAGCTCTGTTGTTCCTGATGCTGTTACGGATACGGATAACATATTCTTGAATACATTGTATCTGGTACCGTTCTAATCACTTGAAGAGTTAAAGAGAGCCATCAGAACTTATGAAAGGGCGACGTACTGCCATTTTGCAGTGCAAGATTCTCATTTTCATAGGGATCAGAAGCCGTATATTAAATTTTTATATTGGAGAAATGGCCGCAGAACACATAGTGGATCCTAACACCCGACTAGACGAAGGATGTGATTTGATCTATGTTATTATGTTGTTCAAGAAGGACTGCAATGTCGGACCTTCGTCTGTTGTAAGTTTATTGAAGGTTACTGTACTGTTGTTCGTGGGAATGTACATCAAAATCATGGATGTAATTTCCTGACTAGATATTGGATTGAAGTGCAAGTTCAAAAATGCACAGGTGATTGTCGCAACAAAACAGATATCGGTCGGGAACCCCAAATATATCGTCTTCAAGAAAAACTTACATCTGCTGCCTGCCAACTATTGAAGCGTTACCTGAGCATTCCTGTAACAGAAATCATAACTTAAGTGCGTTAGTTCACGGCTGTTGACACTACAGGCACTTAAATGGTCTCCCAAAATTCCGTCAATTGCTCGTATAGTTACTTAATGACAAAGATGAAATTGTTTCCACAAACTCAGAAGAATTCAATAAATGAGACAAAAACACTAACGAAGATGCCCACGACAACAGACTGTGTAACATATACAATTTCGCTCAACCGCCAAGTGAAACTGCTGATGGAAGCACTTGAATTTTTTGTCACTGTGATGCGACGTTCCATTCGTTTTGTGCTTGTGACTGACAACCACAATTCCATAGATTCCATTGTCTGATATGCGGTGTGAGAACGGAATAATAGTTGCGCCATTGTTCAGGGTAATCTGAAATGTTTAGAGACCAAAGGCCCTTGTTAGAGCCACGCACAATTCCACTTAGTTTCTTTCGTTTCAATTCGTTAAAAAATGATATAAAACAAGTTTTGTTATTCTCATTCTCAGTGAAGTAGTTTAACAGTTTCTTCTGATAACTCCTTTCCTGTGTACAACAATGATGAAGTTTTTTTTACCTTTAGGTGTGTACTGAAAATTAGTGAGTTTAGGCTGTCATTAATGTTGATTTACTGAACCACAAGTACTAATATCAGTTCACTGGTACAACAATATTATTTCTATGGGAAAGGTCACCTGAACTAACACTGATGAATTATAATAAAGCCCCAGTGAATAAGCTGCATAATCAATTGAGAATAATAATAATAACAATGTGATTATAGCTGAGATCCTAACAGAGTTGATACATACATAACAGCGGTAAAATACGCATGCATAACAGAGTCAACGGCTAAACTGAATACCTGACAAAGGAATTAGATGCATTCTTGATTCCTAGTGAGGGATAGACTTAAAGACTTTGTAAAAAATATCAATGAAGTACATAAATCCATGTTAACTGACTGGAAAATTAAATCGCATTACGTTTTAATATGTGTGACATAAGTATTTAGATGAAAGAGATAAAAATTTACTGGCGATCCGTTTGGTTACAGACAAAATATAATATTTAAAAAAATTCTATACCATCTGCAGATGATTGACGATTTTCTGTGTAAACTGGTTTACCAGCGAACATAGCTTCTTGAAAACCAGGACAACGATTAGATTCTACACCCTAAAATTCATATAACATTATTATTACCAAGATAAGTTGTTAATTGCCCATTTAATTGGTTATAATAATATTCAATATAAAAGTAATTGCTTATGCTTTCTCTGTTCTACCATAATTTATTTATTATCATACACTGAAAAAATACATTCCATTCATTTAAATTGCTATAATTATAGTTCATCATTATTTATTTTACCTTCAATTATATAATCATAGCATAAGAGTTCATGTAACTCAAACAAAAGTCCTCAAATGCCCTGGTATAGCCGAGAGTGGGGTGGGCTCGGCCTCCCTCTCGAAATGTTCTCACATGGCCACGCGTATACAGCCCTTGCCAGGGAAGTCCTACTCACTGCCTTCTCGTGGCGGGGGTTTTATTTACAAAAATAAGAGGACGAAAAGCGAATGTCCGGCGCTTTAACCGGATCCCAAGCCAATGGTGCACATTGGCTCCAGTATCCTGCGGGAACAAATGGCGTATGAACTAATCGTTGGTCACTGGCTACCATGGGACTGCATCTCCTCACGATGCTCCACTACCTTGTGGGTCAGACCTATAGGTCAAAGGCTTGGGGTGTGGCCCCCTAAGAAAACCGCCTGATTCGGTCTGGGCACCCGGGCAGTATCCCAGCTCTCACACAAATCGAGTGGTCTATGTGGCGCATATCTATTTGGTGCCCCCTTGTACCAATGTTTATGTGTTTAAATAAATAAAATAAAAACTCAAACAAAAACTAGGACTATGCCTCAAGAAGTTCTGTCATCATCTATCCATTACTTTCATTATATTCTAGTTAGTTTAATAGAATTTTCAAGATTATTTCAAATTGTAGCTTAAAATGTTTTTAGCAGTAAATATTGAAGTTGACAAATATGTTGTTCGATGTTTTTGTGAAACTAACCTGAGACTAACCTGCATTTTAATTTGTTCAAAGGGTCAAAGTTTTATGATTAATGTTAACAGAAGGTAGAAAACATTGTAAATCGTGAAAAAAAACTACTTTTTGATCTTTTAATAACTAACCGGTCAATTACAATGTTGCTAAAAATAACTTGAGAATGTTCTTAACATAGAAAGAAAATTTTTTCAACTAATGCGATGATATAGAATTTCATGGTGAATAAAAAAACATACGATAATTTCTTAATTTTAAAGGTTTGCTATAATACTTGAATGTAATCAGTAAAATCATTTTTCATTCATATGTAGTTGGCTTTAATGATATAGCACAAATGAAGTCCATTCTATTCAGTAGGTTTGTCAGTATTATAAAACATAAAAGTATGTATATGAATACTAGTTCAATTAACGACTAATTATTTTCAACCAAAATGAGAGAAAACTTTCTGAAAAATTAAACTTTTAACTTACTTCACTTCAAAGTTTACACTCATGACACTGTTCACAAGTAAACGATTCTTTTTTGAAGATAGTATCAACAGTATCACCCTACTGACACATGAATCTTTCACTAATGACACGAGAGATTGTCTTATTCTATTTAAAAAAACTAAATATCTCTAATACATTCAAAAATGATCATGAGTAAATATTTCGTTGGAATTAACTTACAACTATCATAACTTCTGGTCGAATAGATTTAACTGCCACACAAAGTCCAGCTAATAAACCACCTCCACCAACTGGTACAATAATAGCATCCACATCAGGAACTTGTTCTAAGATTTCTACACCAATGGTACCTTGTCCAGATAAAATATGTGGATGATCATAACTACAGTAGAAAGTAAAAACTATGTCAGCTTATCTGTTGAAGACTTAACTGTGACAGAATCGTAACACTCATGTGATGCGGTAAGAATTAAATAAGATAATAAGGGATTAGTTCTTTTGGAAAGTGAATGATGCATAGTATATTTATTATTTTATTATTATTAGCTTTATTCAGTATTATATTTTTGGTAAAATATAGGATTCTCAGCGCAAAGTATTTCAACAAGTTTCCGTTTTTTATTTCTTGATGAAACCTGACGATAAATAATGAGTGCTAGCCAATTAGATGTTAGCAGATCAGAAATCGATATCTGAATAATGTACATTCTTTTCGACGTATATTGACAGCAACCACAATGTCTCTGATTGTGCTCTTTCCTAGCGAAACGTCGTGAATTTTTCACAAACGCACCTGAATACGTTGTCCAATTAGTTGACATGATGATCTGTTGAAACAAACAAAAGACAGACAACTTGTTGAAATATCTACATGGCAGGAACAAGTAGCCCAGATATTCAAGCAGGCCGCCTTTATGTCATTGTTTATCTGATTGTTAAATGATTTGTAGTGGCTTAGATTCGTTAATTAACCACCTTGATAACCGTTATTATATAAATCCCAACTGTGTTTGAAATCAGAAGGCAACAAGAAGCGGAGACTACAGTTTGTTAGCGAATAGCTCAGATAACAAAGCTACAAACATATCGAGTGAATTTCAAGAAGAGAGACGAATATTTGTGTGCAAGCGAATACGGAGATAAATTTGTAGTCAAACCAAATCAAGGTGCAGTTAGGCAAGGTAAAGGCCAATAATAGGATTCGAGTATATATATATATGGGGAAAAATGATTCATCGAGTGATATCTAAGCTATCAACATCTATCAAGTATCTACTGTGTTTAACTAAACAATAAAACCATATTATTCGAAACTAAATAATAAGTATGGATATTAGTTATGTTTGATTGTGTTCAAAATGTAGATAGATCAGAATCAACGAAAGTATAATTCTAATAGAGAATAAATGAGTAAACAAACTTACCCATTGATTAAAAATAAGTTGTTTAATTTTGCAATTTTTGAAGCATACAGTTTACTCTTGAAGTAGAAAAGAAAGAAAGCATATAATGTTCACAATGAAAATCACTTTAAAATTGTACAAATATTTTTCCACATTTGTAATAATTATAAGCTTACTGATTACTAACTTGTAGATAGATGAATTTCAAGTATTTTTAGTTGGAATCTATATATCCTGAGAAATCGACATTTATTCCGTAAAACTGAAATAGTAATTCACTTATTAACACTGGATAATAACTATAACATCAGTTTAGTGGATTATATTATAAATATCTGAACATCATAACACTGCTCTAAATGTGTCATCTTTACTATGGAATAGGAAAGATTTGTAACTTAGCAACATGATTTTGTTGTAATTATGTTCTCTGAGCTTGCTGATTCAGTCATGCTTTCACTGTCTTTCTAGATAACATTAACAGTTCGAACTAAAGATATAAAGGACCTATGAAAATTTATCCACAGGTGACCAGTAGCCTGTTCTGCTTTTTTATACCTTTGATCGTTAGTTGTTAACACGTACACTGCCATAGCCTGTACATTTATTTTGATTCTCTCCCTTCTTGATCTGATGGCTGTACATAATTTTTCTGACTGGTAGATAAGTTGCGTATATTTTGATATGTTTATTGATTATTGACTGAGTGTAAACATTTTGGAGATTTTGTAGTCTACTTTGTGTTGCCTCAGTCTAAGATTCCAACGTTTTCCTCAGTCGGACATATTTCTACAGTTGTCTATATGTATTGGTATAGGTAAAGATATTTTGTAGCCTTCTAAAGCCGATCGGTTCTCAAGTAGACGATGATGAAATTTGCTATCGTTTTGTTTGATTTACTGTTCTTCGTAATTAGGGAGGTTTTTTAAGATAGTGTTCGTCTTATCTTCTGTCATTTCACCTTTCGATTTGCATGAGATTGATTCAATTGCTTCCTTCGGTTGCAAGTATTTCGTGTCAATAATGGTCTCAATAGTCTGGTTATTCTAATAATATCCGTCAAGACAGCGAGCACTTAACGATGAAATAATATATCTCAGTGAACGTATTTTTAACCAAATTACTGTAAGACATTATAATCTTATGGATGTAACAACTGCGAAGGAGTAGCATACAAGAACAAAAAGTTGTCTTCATGCTTTATTATTTTCAATAATTATCTGACTGATGTCAACCGACAATTAAAGCAACACTGGAGCCTATGGAATCATTATGATTAGCCCAAGCATTTAAAGAAATTACTAATGTAATAGCTCCAGCTTGTTTATTTAAAAATGATTTGGTGGGTAAGGTTGTTTTGTAGTTAAATAATCTTTCCCTAAAGATTTGCAACGTAAATACAGCTATGAGGTCTGAAAGTTACTACAGCTGAGGAATAATACCCATCACCTTAAACACAATTTTGATTACATTTCTATGAGTATGGGGATTTGTGGAGATCGTGGTATTTTCACAGTTGAATTCACGAGTCGATCTAAGCTAGACCACCACTGAAAACCTGGAAGCATTGGACGACCAGTTCGTCGTAGTACTGGACTCCTCATTAGTGTGCATAAACGATCCCACACGTGAGACTCGAACCCAGGACCTTCGGTCTTGCACGTGAACGCTTAACCTCTAAACCACTGAACCGGCATCGGCATTGCATGAGGTTAGACATTAACACCGTTTCTGCAATCTTGAGTTGACTGAGGTTGAAAAAGTAAACCACTGTATACCAACTAAGTTGTTTTGAAGATAACACACTTACTGTGAGGCCTAAATGTTTGTGATTCGGTCTTTTGTGAGTTTGTTGGTAAGGATTATATAGGAATCCGATACTAAGGTTGATAAAATCTACTTTAGATCCCCCGGTTTTCAATGGTTGATTAATTAAAACCAATTCGTGATGTGAAATATTTTTCAAATAGATAATCTCCACCAACGTACCATTCTAATTATCTTGAAGTAATTAGTTGACAGTTTTAATTGGCACATTGCCAGTGGGGCTAATCCGTGTCAGGTAGAAACAAGTATCTACCTTTGACAATAGAAAATGGTCTTGCAATTTCGTGGATCGGTGAAAGTTAGACATTAAAACTGTTGGATGCCGAATCAGTGGTCTAGAGGTTAAGCGTTCGCGTGCGAGACCGGAGGTCTTGGGTTTGAGTCTCACGTGCGGGACCGTGAATGGGCACCGATGAGTAGTCTCATACTACGACGAAACGGTCATCCAGTGCTTCCAAGTTTTCAATGGTGGTCTAACATCAATTGATTTATGATCTCAACCAGAAAAGTTTGTTATTACATGCATAATGATAATTTGGGATTCATAGTGTTTTTTAATTTCACACCAAACTATTTAAATTTAATGTGCAAATAGATTAGTTATATCCCGATTAATAATTATAAGACATTCACTTATAATCTAAAACAACGGTGAAGACATGTGAATGACAAATTAACTGAACTTAAACCGATATACATATATAAGTTCCTTTATATTAACATAGATAAATTCCATAATAGATTTTACCAATTGGCACATGATAAAAAGGAATTGGCTTTGTTCAAGCAGAAACATAAACCATTAATATAATTAATATTTAGAAACACTAGTATTCAAAGTAAGTCAATACATATTGAATGTACTTTTGAACTTTAGATCAGGTTAAGAATTAGATATAGTCTTTTATTTACTGAAACGTTGAAAATCAAATTTTCATCGAATTTGCATAATTTCCACTTCCTCAAATTTAAAATTAGATATTGTTAAGTTGTGAAAAATTATTAGAGTAATCTAATTTACTCAGTGAACCTTTCATAAATTACTCATAGAAATTCAGAATATTTTACACATCTACTGAAATAGACATTAAACTGTGGTTAGAAAATGTAAAATGGAACAGTACCGTTTAAATTAGCCACCGTATAATATTTTACTACAAACTATGAACAACAACATGTACTGGTACCAAAAATGTAATAATAATGATAAAAATAGCACTGCTGTAGTGAACGAGAACCTAGGTGGGGAAAATCAATTTATTATTCAATGCAAAATTACAGAGTGCTTTCATAAAATATGAAAATCATACATTAAATATATCATTTGAACACCTTCTTTGCTCTGTTCTTTACATACCCCATTATTCCTCTACTTCTGATGTCGTTTCGATTCCTATCAGATTTGCTTTCTGTTCTCTTCTCTTCAATCTTCTGCTGCTAAGGATTCCACTCCCAATTGAGGCTACACCCTATTTACATCTAACAGAATAAGTAGCACACACCACACTATTATTATTATTACTAATAATAATAGTAATAATGAGTGACTGGTAACTAACAAGTCATTTGGTATAAAATAATCCTCAAAGTACAGATCTAATATTTTTTCATGGACTGTGCTTGTGATTGAAAATGATCTTAAATTATTATGTGCCCATTTCTAATTGTACTTTTGCAATATTGACCAATAGTTATTCACTGATATTCTCAATAGTATAGTTTGATTTTACATCAACGTAAATAAATATGATATTTGTGGTTGAAAGAAAATGTGCATTAAAATCAAAAGTAGTTCACTTCAGAGCGATGATCGCCTATTTAGGAATTCAAAATAATGTTTAATGGTTGAGGTCATCCGTGACGTTTTGTGTACTGTTATATCCCGACGACAATTATGAATGGTAACTTTTGAGAACTATTTGTGAACAAATATCATACGTATATTCTTTATGTATAACTATTCAACAGCTATATTATGTATATCTATACTCCCTTTATTACAATCTACATTTTGACCTATAAACTATTATCATACGATTAACTGTTCTTGAGTCTCACATAGTCTATTAACTACAGTCTCTCACATTCATAGCCACTTATGGCTAGATATTGTACAAATCCTGTTTTCTATTTGATGGTGCGATGTGGTCTGTTTGATTTGTATATAAACCCAGTACGTTTGAAATACATTATTCATATTGCAGCGGCCGGGATTAGTGTTCTGCACTCAACAGGCAGGGCTAAGCAGGAAGAAGGGCCGATAAGGACTCTAGAGTGCTCGTACGGGTTTATGCGTCATTGGTCCGGTCGATAAGCCACTGTTCTTTAATTGGCAATATCATTACGTTATGTATTAATAGGGCACAAGGCCATGAGTTACAACATGTCCAACTAGTATATTATATCCAGCTTTTTCAATCGTTTCTTTGTGTTAACATGTTGCTTGAGTTCTGTATTTCAGCGTAATTTTCATTAGGGACCCCATTTAGAGCTCTATTTACATGTTTTCCATTCGAAATGTTTGGCTGCGTTACACCAATATGTTCATAATAGATGTCTTTGGATAACCCCATACCTTTGAAACTGAATCTCTAGTGGAATTTACACTTTAGTAAACGGAAAATTGACTGAAAATGCTAATTTAACCTAAATAACGGTGTTGTCATTAAAAATGTACAATTGGAATAAGAAATAATGATAAAAAATCTAAAATGAATTTATATTTGATACTTACTTCAAAAACACTATTGCCTTTCAGTAAAACGAGTCCACCATACTTCTTACAACGTTCTTGTTTCATCAAACTTGAGTTTACAGGCATAATAATAGTAATTGGTATTTTTAACAAACTTCCATGATATGCCAAACCAAGTGCATGGTTACCAGCACTACATGCAATTACACCACGTTTAGCTTCTTCCTACAACAAAACATCCAAATGTTCATGTAGCAAGTATATAACACTTTGATCACAAACAATCGTTCATTACAAATAATTATTCTGTTTAAACGACAAAGTGACTAGACGCCTTAACTTATTTTGGTTATCCTACCGTGCGTAAAAAAGTGATCAATTCCTGACTGACCATATACTGAAAGATTATTTCGTTACTATTTATTTCCTATCTTTTTCTTCCATCTGGAGCTGATAATCTGTATGGACATTCCTGAAAAGTTCTAAGATCAAAATAAAATCGTCTACGTCTGAATTTTTGTTCCTCACGTTTAGCCGTGAATCACTAAAAGTTTCTTCAGGAATTCGTGATATCAGCACCTCCTGTTGATATGTTCGCAGAGGGGTGGAATCTCCGTAGCACTAACAATAGCAAAGATTAAAATAGGTCACTTGATTTCAAAAAGCCATTGCTAATGTGTATGAACTTGCTAAATACAAATGAGTAGTACATGAATGGTGATGTAGATTATATAATTGACTAGGCATTTTATATTTTATAAAATCATACATTGGTTTGTTGCTATGAATACAAAAACAATTTCAACAATGCCAAAAATCATGGTTCATTACTCCTTTTAGTTGTACAAACGCGATTTAACAACAATCAATCAACACACGTCTATATTTACTCACATACATATACATACTGGCGTATTAAGAAAACATAGTTAACTTGATGATTTAAACCAAGCGGCGTGAACTGTTTTACAATAAGTTTTAAAGTAATTCTTAATTTTAACAAGTAGTCATACATTTAAAAAATATGCAGTGTAGTTTATTACCTCATGTCACAAAACTCCCTCAAAAAAATTCCCTTATAAAATGAAATGAACGTAATATAATGAACAAGTTAAACACAGATAGGCATAAAATTCAGTATTTGTTCGTTTAAACATGTTCTATTTGTCTACTATTGTTAATTGAATATGGACAACTACTGCTGAGATGTAAAATAAAATATTGATTCATATAAGACTGATTTTATTTATATTTACTTGTTGAAATACGACAGATACAAGAAACTTTCTGTAAACGTGTCTTTAATGACGTTAATGTAAGATTTGGAAGTGGTACTTATCTCGAGTTACAAACACTTTTGATTTTTGATGAAAGAAGTGGAAATATTTTAATGACATTTGAATACAATGGAGTTCCATCAAGCTAACTAATATAATTTATTTGTAAAGTACATATTTATTTCATTCATCTTCTTATACAATATTAGTGGGGTTAGTGATACTGTGTGCTACTTATACTGACATAAGTAGTAGATGATGTTAGTCGTGAACAGAATGTTTGGTAGCATAGAGACAAGAGGATCGAACAGTAAAGAATGGAAACAAAATGCAATCTGCATGAAAATGCAAGAACAATGAAGTATGAGTCATTATGCGACAATTGATGGACATTTTGCAAATTACGTATTTACTATTTGGTTGTTAGATTTTATTAACAAGTCCCGTAAATTTTTGTTACTTGCTAATCCATTAGTTTCTTTGAACTACCACTATCCGTCTCATTAAAATGTCACCGTTTCTAAAACTTTTTGAGGTGTCAGTGAATATGGTATATATTAGTGAGGAGCTTTTTATCTGCATTTTCGACCTTAGTTTGGAAAAAAAAGTTAGATATCTCATTAAATTTTCTTTTATCAGTTGATATCAGTTTGAAAAGCGTTCAAAGTTAAGTAGTTGTGAATATGGGGGTTATCTCTTTGAATTTTCATTACTTTAGCTACACTAGCCGATAATAAATAAACTCAAGCAATTTATTTTACTTCAATGACCACAACTGTCTTTTACTACCACAATACACTTGTCTGTAAAATTATTGACATGCTATTTCTTTTTCATAATATGGCAATTCAAACTGCTAAGGTATAATTTATCGTACATTACTATATGATAAAGGTTAAACGATGTTGGATGGTTAAATTCGACAATTTAAACTCTTATATGACTTTTGTAGACTGATTTTTGAGTGTAAATCACTAAACAGTTAAAAATTAAAAAGAATCAAACTATCAACCACTTTTATTACACTTTTAAGTGTACGACCAACTCATAAAAAAAATAAAATTATCACTTACTGACGTCAACTGAAGTAGTGCATTGCGAGCTCCTCTTTCTTTAAAGCTGTTATTAAAAAGAAAGTCATAAAGACATTAAAACGTAATTTAAAAATAGTAACCTCCCAGTTACTTGAAGAAATTCCTTTTTAAAGTAAATATCCATATTGTATTCCAATGACAGCTGAGACTTCTTTAAAACACATATAGGTGTATTTATGCAATTTATGTTTTAATTCTTACTTTACACGGTGTATAAATTATTCCATCTTTTATAAGTTTACTGGCAGCCTTCACTTCTTCAAATACAATCACTTTAGGATGCTCTGGATCACTATTCGGATCTAACAAATCTGGATCTTCTGCATTTGGTAAGGGTATATTTGTCACTAATTGTTCATTAACCATGATGCCGGTATATATCAAACTAATCTTCTGATAAAAAAGAAGCTGTTTTAATGCGTCATCAATATATCAATTAAATTAACAAGAAAAGTTATATATTTACATCTCACCGCTATCCAGATAAGCGAGTGACGTGAAAAGTGGAACTTATATCATAAATTGTTTCTCTGAAAGCTGATTAATACAAATTTGTTTAGCTCGAAAATATATAATTTGCTGTTATGGTAAGCTAATCAGATGAAGACTAATGAGAAAGCTAATCGACGATAATCAAAAGTGACCTATAGAGCACGTGAATTTCATTGGCTAAGAAATAGGTCAATTTCCTAAGTAATAGAGTTGTATATATATGATTGAGTATTTTTGCATTTCATTCTGTAGCCCAATATACTTCCCCACTCAGTTTTGTGTTCTTGCCTAATTAGTCAGTTGATAGAGGGATTTAGGGCTTGGCACATGGTGTATCAATAGCAGACTCCGGACACCACCTGACACGAATTTTACAGTATTAAACAATCGGAATAGGATATAGAAAGCCAACCATAAAACTATTATAAGCTGGCAAATAATACGTTAAAAGTTATCTATCAGTTGATGGCTATGTAACGTTTATCAGTATATTGATAAACGTTATTCTAATTCATTGGCCTAGATCTATTAACTGACCGACAGGACTGTAAGAGTTTTAGAAGTATTTGGTGATATAGGTGCATATATTATTTTATACGTCTCAATTTCAAATACCATCTAACTAATAGCCACATAAATAATTAAGGCTAATAAAGAGTTTATTACATATTGCTCTTTAACGCCAGAAGAGATGCAAAAGCAATTAGATACAAAGAGTAAATAAACAATAGTTTAACTGATGTTTTACGCTCACTTGCTACGTTATTAGCTTCAATTTTACCAACTAAATAAAAATACGTAGACAAACATATCCTAAAGAGAAGACCTAGAACATTGTGTAGTTTGTAAACGCTCTATGATCACCAAAATCTAACATCTAGTTTCCTTTAACTTCATTTCTTTTACAATGTATCCCTCAATCTGGTCCAACAAAATTCCTCCTCTCATTACAATCACCGGAGTGTGAATTGACTAAAAAAGTGTAAAGAGCTAAAAACTTGGTATCTGATTTAGATAAAATCTGTCGTAAACACATTGTCGAAGACATAACATTTTCGAAAACACGAACGAATGAATCGGTAGTAGATATTGTGTGGTGTACAAATGGTTAGAAAAAACTTCCTGTTTAAATAATGTTTGTCCTCATCCAAGTTTTATTCAGTTTCCCGACCTCTTATTATAGATTACTAAACAGTTTGTTGAAGATCTATTGTTGATCTGATGGTAACAATGTACTTTATTGATTGATTGTTCCACACAATATATTATACCTCCAAACTCATTCGTTCCTCATCGCTCTTCTAATGGTCTTTCAGGCCACGACAAACCCGGCTTTTACATTTTTCAACTTTGGATAGATAACCCTGTAACTTGGATGTGTAAGTACCCTGTTTGGAGAACCCATTTGATGGCTATAAAATTGCCAATTTTTAAACCCTTTGGACACACTTAGTTTAAGTACCATTAAGTAATTCTTTATTTTGGATATTTCTACTTGTTTCTAAATTATCCTCTAGGGTTTTTATTTGTGTTATAATAATTTCGCTGACTTTCCACTTGACTGTGTTTAGTACACTAGAACTATTTGTGTTTCGAAGCATAGTGCGTACATTAGAGAACAGTGGAGTGTACAATACGGTTGACTGACGTACATCCTTGGATAAAGACTTTCGTCAAACTGCATCACGGAAAATATCATAATTTTATGAAAACTATGAATATCGAATTTGTGTATTATATAACAACATTTATCTGAAATCACAACGACGATCATAAGATATTTTATTCTTTAACTTTCATTTGAATTAAGTATTTGTAGTGCTAAAAAAGATGTTTTTTAAATCAGGAAGCTATTTTTTGTCTGTATTATGTTCTCCACGCTGAATGCCTAACAAATGAACATACTGAAAAACACGTGGTTATGATAGAAATGTAAAACAATTTAGTGTCTTAACCATCCAATATAAGTGCCCTGCAATGCACCATAGAAACAAACTAGTCAAATTAACATCTTAAAAAGATCGTATCAAAAATTAAAACCGCTAGCATTCAATGACTAAAATATGTGACAGAAACTCCTCATTTTGAAGAATGCCGACCGCTTCAAAAATGAAAAACATCATCCGCAGAACAGCTTATTATTCTTAGCAAATATTTTAAAATAGTTGTCTAAGAATCAATAAGAATCATGAAATAATAAAGCTTACATAAAAAATCAGCTAATTTTGAAGAGAGCGTGAACTGAGAGACCAGTCGTATTTCCGCGCTTAGACGCCAACATTTCGTTTGTTTTTAAAGTTGTTCAATGAACGGTATCTTTGTGATGCTTCCAAACAGTTTAAGGTCTTTGATATTGTAAAGTGAGAAGTAGTCTAGTATACTTTTTAGTCACTTCGGGAGCTATTTGAAGTCTTGTGTATCTTGAAATCCGAATGAATTTATCTGAAGATTAATTAACGCAGTGGAGTTACAGAAATCAACAGCTATCAAATTAACAGACAGGAAATTCGTCGGTTTTAATGCTAGAAATAGTAAAAAACTAGAATGCAGGAAAGCTCAGATGAAATTATGACCAGAAAAAGTAAACAAATAAATAAGTCATTACTTAAAAAACTATGACCAAGAAAGATTTGTTTCCTATCCCTATCATTATGTTCTTCCCCTGCCTCTTAGAGTGATACGTAAATTTAATAGTTTTTGTCATCACAATACATTCTTATGTACTTCGTTTTTGCAAGACATTACAAATATGTGGTGTTTGTATGAAGTAGTGATTATGTAGCGGTAGATAAATCACCAAAATCAATGGCTTTGTAAGTCCTTGACATTTGACACTGACTACATTAGTTTTAATGGGTTCACCTGGCTGAAGGCGCTCGGTCACGCATCCACACCAGATCACGAGTGAAAATGCAATATTCAACTTCTACAACCGCTAGCCAGTTTAGATCAGTTATTTCTCGATATATGAATAAACCATCAAATATATCTTCGAACCTCTTCGCTTCTGACTTTTGATTTCACTGGGTGTACATGTTTTGATTATAGATGTTACCGGTTGAGATGTTGTCAAACTTCGAATAATTGTGACATCTTCAATTGCTTTGCGCTTGATTACTAGTTCATTTTGAATTATAGATACAATACTTTCGTTCGTGTTTGTCTAGTTCTATTTAACTTAAATTGCACGGTTTCGAAAACATAAAAATAATACAATAATCCGAATGCTTCTAGTTTTCAGAATATGCAACTTAGAGGATATGGCAGGAGATTAGAAACGCCAAGAACGAACAAAATGCCCGTTGCATGCGTGTTTTCCCACCGAGTCATCAATTATTAGGACCTGTAACTCGAAAGAAGTGGTATGCACCCCCTCATTTGACTCAGTCAAGAGAAGAACCAGAAAAATCATATGTGTACTACTACTACTAGAAGATTCACTTGGTATTATTTACTTGAATCTTACCACTGATGTTTAGGACTGCAATTGATCAGTTACTTATTGGTATATGTATATACTGTGTATATTGTCTCTATATTTCCTTAATTTGCAAGCACCACAAGCAAAGATAGACTCGGTAGCTAAGAGGATAGTGCGATAGCGTTTAAATTTAACGGTACTAGGTTCGTGTCTTAATGTAAGCATAAACTGTGGAGAGCAATTGACGAGTTCCGAACAGGATTCAACTGCTAGCAAATAGATGTGAGAACCAGAAGAGGAGCTGGCATAGCTTCAAATCACCACTTAGTCGTGGTCAAGATGAAGCTGAAACTACAGGAGCAATCGACAACTGGACAAACAGGATTACAAAAATTCAATCCAGCCTTCTTACGAGGCACTAACAAACATAACGAATTCAAGATAACTCAACAACAGGTTCCAAGCTTTGCACACTCTACGGAAAGAAGAAGAAACTACTATAGAGGACAACTGCAGAGGGATAAAAGTAGCATTAACTCCAATGTGTCAGGGGGTACTGGACCGAAAGAAGCATTATCATAATGAATGGATCTCTATCGAAACCCTGGACAAGATTGAAGAAAGGAAGAACAAGAAGACAGTAATTAACAACAGTCGAACAAGGTCACATCAAGTCAATCCACACGCTGAATATACATAAGCAAACAAGCAAGTGAACAGGAGTATTAGAGTCGACAAGCAGAAATATGTGGAAAACCTAACAACGACAGCAAAAAAGCTTCAACAGAAGGAAATATGAGACAGCTACATGACACAAAGAAGGAATGAACAGAGAAATATACTTAACCAGAGAGATCGGTCAAGGACAAAGAAGGCAAGCCCGATCAATGACAATCAGGGACAGAGGAACAGGTGAGTCGAACATTTTGAAAAACTCTTAAATAGACCAGATCATTGAATCCCCAGGATATGGAAGCATCACCTACAGACCTTCTTAAAGATATCACCCCACCAACGATTGAAGAAATCATCCGGAATTCATACGACGGACTGCATAGAGGACAGCTGACTGATGCACTTCAAGTAAGGACCTGAGTCAGACAAGGTTGTTTACTCTACCCCTTTCTCCATCTTATAGTGGTCGACTGGATTATGAAGACCTTGACATCTGAGAGGAAACACGGAATACAATGGATAGCTCGGAATCAATTACAAGATTTGGACTTTCGTAGACGACCTGACCCTTCTATCTCATACACATAGACAAATACAGGTCAAGATAAGCAGTGTAGCAACAGTCTCTGCATCAGTAGGCCTCAACATAGACAAGGGGAAAGGTAAGATCATCAAATGCAATACGGAGAACACCACCTCAACCACACTTGATGGAGAAGCTGTGGGAGATGTGGAATCCTTCACGTTCCCTGGAAACATAATCGATGAGCAAGGAGGATCATATGCATACGTAAAGACGAGGATTGGCAAACCAATGCACGCATTCCTATAGTTGAAGAACATATGGAACTCGAAACAACGGTCAGTCAACATCAAAGGGAGAATCTTCAATGCGAATGTCAAGACAGTTCTGCTGTATGAAGCTCAAGCTTGGAGAATTACTACAACCACAATCAAAAAGGTACAAGCCTTTATAAACAATTGCCTACGTAAGATACCCAATGTCCGTTGTCCAGATACCATCAGCAACAACTTACTGTGGGAGAGAAAAAAACCAGCTTTTGGTTGAATAGGAAGTTAGGAAAATACGTTGGAAGTGGATAGGACACACATTGAAAAAATCATCAAACGGCGACACGAGGTAAGCGCTAATTTGGAATCCTGAAGGGAAACGAAAAAACGGAAGGCCAAAGAACACACTGCGTCAGGAATGGGAAGTAGACATAAAAAGGATGAATAGCAACTGGAAATAACTGCGAAGGATCGCCCGGAACAGCGCTGGATAGAGAATGCTTTTGGGGGACCTTTGCTTCTTTACGATGAGTAACAAGGGTAAGTAAATTAGTGAGTAATAGAAGACTAGAGACTATCAAAAGTTTGTTATAAGAACCGTAACACAGGCCCTTGATCTTCTATTCTTACTGCACAAGTCCGAATGTGATTCTGATATAGTCATCTTGATAAAAGCATCAGTTTCACAATAGCTGATTACTCAAAAAGCCCCACGAACACCGTACTTTATTTGCATCGTCATCCGATTTTTCACTAGATTACGAATGCGTAGTGTATTTCTTCGTAAAGACAAGAAATCTTTCATTTGATGCACTAATCTTCGAGACTATCTGAACAAACTTCAGTCTTTTATACCCCGTGGACATAGAATCGATATCAGTGTGGTGTCTTGTCTTAAGAACGTAATTCATGGTAACTTTACATGTTAGCTGTCTGGTCTATTTTATCATAATATAACTAAAGTTTGTTAGAGGCAGAAACTCACACTTGTGATAAAAGTCCTTCCTTAACCAAGAAAGAAGAGAAATTTTAGTTTCATCAGTAAATGTATCGTAGGTAGGATGGATCGAGAGTATTTGTAACAAAACTTAAGATAACGACCGTGATTGCTGAGAAGCATTTTCAGGTTAATATATTTTGAATCCTCTTTTCTTTCCTAAGCTGATGACTTTTGGTCACAGAAACAATAAAGCTCTAGAATGTTTCACGTCAGTTACATATTCTAGCACTCAGGTTTTGTAGAACACTAGGATTGAAAAACGAATTAAAACTAGTCATCTTACCAATCACACTTATATTATCTCCAGGTAAATCCAAGTAATTTTCCTGGCTGTAACAACCGAGGGGTGTCCGAAAAACGCTTTGCAAGCGAATATATAGAGATTTTCATTGCTGAACTGTCTTTTAACAGGACAAGTTCCCCATTTAGTGTAATCCATATTTCTATGAAAAACTAGACTTGTCATCCGTTTTTAAGCAGAAGAGGCCAGTGCAGTGGGCTGATCACTTTGGTAACTGTTACTGCTGTAATATCCACGTTCTAGTTGCGAAAAATGTTATAACCTTTAGCTGCTACAGAGCATCAAATCAGAACAAACGGTTAAATACATAGAACGAATTTATTTGACAATAATTTTTTTAACCACTGATTCAGTGAAGATTGTCTAAAATGTCAATATTAAGAATAAAAATTGTTCACTTTTTCGTTGTTTATTATCACTTAACTCTGGCCAAGAACTGTAAGACACTGAAAATTACACAGGCAATTTATCGTAACAGCACAACCAGGATTATTTACGCATTCTTTGAGCCAAAAGCTATTCACAAGATCTATCTTTTTCTCTAATCTTCTTGATACATTAGATGTTTATCTGGGATCAGCATTAAGCCTTAAAGACCACTCCGTAAGTTCACACATAAATAATCAAGTTCTGTTAATCTATACACAATTGACAAGCTTTTTTCAAAGGCCAGATTTTGTTTGTTGTACCGTAGTAACCAACAAAACTGCGACTGATGAGTTCCGTTATCGACGTCATCTCTTAGTAAATCTCTTGTGTGATTTTTTCATTGTGATGTTTAGATTTCATTTATAATACCTAGTTTCACAGATAGGAAGAAACTAGCAACCGAATTGTGCATAAATTGGAAATACGTGAGTAGTTAGAAGATTATTATGTAACATCAAAGACTTAATCAGTGTATCAATGGATTCGAAAGTTGGCGTTCGAAGCATAGGGGAACCCACAAACAATGTAGCACGTGCGGTTCCTTTGTGTAAGCATGGTAAAAAAACGATGACAAAATATTAGAGAGGATACGACAGAAATATTGTGAAAAAAGTAAACTAATTTATATTGAGGATTAGAAAGGGAAAT